CTGTGGGCCTTGTCCAGTATGTCGATCTTCTCCTTCTCGGTCATGTCGGCCGGCAATGCCGCCGACCCTTGCAAGGCTTCTACAACACACTGCTGAAACAATAGAGCTCTCATCTTTACTCTCCATAGGCTGAAGTCTTTCTTCCCGTTGAATTTCTCAATGTCGAATTTGACAGAACTCATTGTCGCGACTAGGATTTCTTCCAATGAATTCTACCTGCTGCCCTTCCAAGAACTAGGCTTTTCCCCGTGAACTTCACTGCCTTCGCCAACCAAACAGAAGCTCTGATCCCTTCTGGCAGAGATCACACCTGTTCACCGGAGAAAACTTCCTGCTCTGTGCTCGCGCCTCCTTCCCGCAGGCACTCCTCTGTGTCCAACGAAAAAAATCAGGAATTCCTCCTCTGCCTCTCACACGAGAATAACTGCCTCTCCAGAGCCGCTGCGCCTCGCCAAACTGCTTAGGTCCTCCTGCTCAGCGAACTCTCGAACAAGGAACTCCCTGAACCCTTCTCTGCGCGATCTCCGCCTCTTCCCTCTGGCTGAGCTGCTCGTAAGACCGAATTCCTCTGCCGGCAGCCCTGTCGCAAATTTTCGGCCCTCGCTCGATGACTGTTCCTCCTCCGTCACGCCGAACCGCACAACCTGCGGTGCGAATCCAGCCGATCAAAGCTTCCACTGCTCATCGAATCTGTAGCGATTCGGCTGCCTATGATGCGATCTGGCTCCTCTGTTTGTGACTGGCCAAACAATGCGATCTGGCTCCTCTGTTTGTGAATGTCAAACTCCTCTTCTTCGTTGCTGGCCGCGAACACCTTTACACGGACACCTCTAGCCAAGAAGTATGAATCTTCCCACAGACGGCGCCAATTGTTGTGAGATATGTACTTCCTGACATAGAAATGAGACGAAAAAGAACACAAGCAAACACAGATCGTTTACGTGGTTCGATCCAACTGGATCTACGTCCACGGAAGGGAATCAATCAAATAGTTTACTAAGGCAAAAGAAATGGAGAATACAAAGTTTATACATAGAGATGAGCCCTCATCTTCCTTCTATGACCTCCCTCTCAAGCGACACTTTGATACAAGGCCTCAAGATGCTCTCCTCCTCTCTAGCTCTCTAGCTATTCTCTCCTCCTTCGTGGTAGCTTAAGATCTCTTCCCTTTCTCTCCTAAGCCTCACACCCTTAAGATCTCTTCCCTTGCCCTCCTAAGCCTCACACCCTCTCTATTTATAGAAGCAAGAGAATGGTAGGTGGGAGGTAGGTGGGAGGTAAGTGAACGGTAGGTGAGATATGGTAGGTGAGCGGTACCACATTACAAAAGTACCATTTTACCTTAGTTCATTAATTGGGGGTCAAAATAACATCAATCAATACTGAAAAGATTAAGAGTACAATTAGAATCCAAAATAATCAAAAGAGCATAAAAATATTCTTGCAGACTTCTTGAACAAATTCAATCCACATATGTCAGAAAGTAGATTGAAGAGAGAAAATTGGGTTGTAGTGATCGAGACACTAAACATACGTGTAGGTACCATTTATACAGAAACAGTGGTGTTAAAAATTAAAAAAATATGAGTCAATTTTAAGATGTTATATCAGTACTTGAATTGTAGTGGTTAAGATTGGGATGAAAATGTGCATACACTGATAACAAATGATAACATTTAGGACGATATCATAAATTATATAATTATTTCTACATAAACTAGCTGAACTTATATGATATTTTAATTATTAATATATTTTGATAAGAAAACCCAAAATTGACACAATTTTAAAGAATCTCTTTCCTCCAAAATGACATTTTTGAAAGGATCTGTGGAGATAATATAGCAAATGGAGTAATACGTTCCAACCAGGAGTCTTACATCAGACTGAAGAAGTGGAATTGACTACACTGATTGATAATTTTATGTTCGTGAATGGAGAAGCCTTCATCGATGAGTAATTGCGGCTACTCAAACACTTGATGTTCAAATAAACAAAGATGTGATCATACAGTCATTAGACAGATAACAGAGTGGTAACAAATGATTAATCGCAAGAGTCCATCCCAACAAAAAAAATTAAAGGAAAAAAAATACCCATAACATGATGACATTATTATAGGCCAATTAATAAACATATGTGGATTTCCAACAAACTGTGGAACATCATTCCCCGTACACAATAGATGAATGTCTAACGAAGTTTGACAACATTCCAAGCATTTCTAATAAGGTTAAAATTTTTGTTCATGAAGAATTAAAGTATACCAATGCATATAAATAGATGAATGCCATTTCCCATTTCATGAGAAAAATTTTGTTGGCATTGTTATCCTTTGATGCTTCATTAATGGTAATTATAATTTCATTAGAAATGCTTGGAATGCTGTCAAGCTTTGTCAGATATTCATCTATTATGTATGCAGAAATGCATTTCATATACATTGAAATCACGTATACATGTCTTCTACCAGAAGATGATAGCTTTCGAATGTTACCGAAACACAAGCATTTGAATGTTACCGAAAAGATAAAGCTTAATCTCACATAAAAACGTGCCCACAGAACATTGAAATCACGTATACATGTCTTTTACCTGAACACGGAAACGACATTGATAAAACAACAAAATTACTGTAAAGGAACAAACACACAGAAACAACTAGAAGGAATTCAAAAACAGATTTTATAGATACGATAATAAAATAAGCCCACAAAGAAACAAGTTCAGAAAGATAGAACCCCCTTGAAAACAGATTTCACAGCAACGGAAATGAACAAATGATAGAAAAATCAGCATAATAAGGTCGAATCTGTTCCAAAATGAAAACCGTAAAAAAATATACCCATAAAAATTGAAGAATATACAATATATCTCACTTTCATGCCAAAAAAATAAAATAAAACAAAAATAAAAATAAGAAAATAAAATCTAATAATCTACTCTCTCAACTTCCCGAACAGACAGTTGCTCAAAAACAAAGAGCTAGGGCACAGATAGTCACTCCAAAACGAAAAGCTAGGATATTGAAGTAATTACCAGTTATCAAAACGCGAACAGCGCACGAATGACCGCATTATTAAAATGCCATTATAACGTACCACGGTGTGAAAATGCCGCTACCTTGCAATTAACAAACACCTACTCAGACAATGCCATATCAGTGCCGCAAAAACACTTCCCCAAGCAGGTGCTTAGTGTTGACTATTATAGCTCCCATATTAACAGATTTGTAATTTTATAATTTCAGAAAAACCAAAACAGGTACATAAATTTTTAAAAATTCAGATACCTCTTTTAATAACTAGATTGCTGCCTTGCTGGCCTACTATCAAGTTCAGCATGCATCCTCTCACAAAGAACGTATTACTGATATATCAAGAAACTAGGAAGTCTTTTCTAAGAAATTCCAGAGAATATAACTATTCTGGGAGTATACTACAGTTAAGGTTTTTCCTCCAGTAGAAATTTCAGCAATTTTTTCATATATAATACATTTGTTCTCTTTTTCTATCTGTTAAAGCTGAGATAGATACTCATCTGTAATCGATCCTTTTCAAACTTATCCCAAACATGATTTTGCTGCTTGTATTGTATTGTTTTATGTTTATCTCAAATATGAAATATCGTGACACCAATATTGACATTAACAATTTAGCAAAATCGACACCAATGCCTACACACACCATCAGTAATAATTGTTGACACCTAACAACAATACCAATGCCAATGTCTTCCGTCAACACCAGAACAAATTGGTGAACTTCTTGGTCTCTGATCAAACCACTAATGATCACTTAAAGATAAATCCAACATCTCAAGGCTCTTCCAACATACACCATAGAAGTCATCCTTCACAATTCATATCTACCATATAATAACGATGTCTTCTCCAACTATAAGAAAGAGAATCGATTGTAATTAACAATATATAATAGCAGAATTGATTCAGTTGAGCCAAACCTCATAACTTTTCCTCTTTCAAGGTGTCCATGTAAAAAATATCTCGTCTCCTATGAGCTACTTTCGACTTTCTTTACGTTGGAACTTCATACAAAGGTAAGACAATAAACTCCCTCTCTACTGCATTTCAGGATGATGATAATGATGATTAACAGATTTGCCCTTCACCTTCAGTCTTCACTCAGGATCCCAATACAGGGATTATTTTTCTTTCAAGCGTCCACATATACTTCTCAGCTCTCAAGATTTCTTAGTCTTTACCTCATATGGTCAGCCATTCAGCTTCACATAACAGACCTCAAACTCCATGATTGACCTTTCTATTACCAGTAATCTCCACAAGAACAAGCTCCAACCTTGAAATGATGAAAACGAACTGGGTCTCTTATTACAATCACTTTACCTTCAGTCCTTGAAACAAGCTTCGCAAATTCATGGCAATCTCCACAGATCCTGAGATTCTTCATTATTCTGATTGGCTTTCCCTCTGTTGAATTCATCATTCCAAAAGCAATGGCCATCTTCTCACTATGATACCGAAGAGACTCTTCCTTCTGCTCTCTCCCCAAATCATGCAGCACAAATTCAGTATCAGGCACATAACCCATTCTACTTATTCTGCTGATCAACCTCTCCAGTTCTCTATTGATACCCTCCATTTGAGCATTTGAGAAATCTCCAGCAATGAAGACGTGGGTTTCCTTCCCAACATCCATCCAACTCCGGCCAGGCTCTTTCCTAATGCCTCTATCCCTCATCATCTTCCTCATCTGCTCCACATCTGACCATTGCTTAGCATCTGCATAAATATTCGATAATAATATGCAAGTCCCTTCATCTTCAGGTTCTAGTTTCAGAATCTCTTGTGCTGCATAAGCAGCAAAGTTCACGTTTTTATGAACCCTGCATGCTCCAAGGAGGGTTCTCCATATAATAGCATCTGGTTTGAATTCCATTTCATGGATAAACTCCACAGCTTCCTCAAGCTTCCCTGCTCTACCAAGAAGATCAACCATGCAGCCATAATGCTCACTTCCTGGTTCTATATCAAAGAGTCGCTTCATGGAGCGAAAATAGTGCCAAGCATTTTCAATTAAACCTGCATGACTGCAAGCAAAAAGAACGCCCACCATGGTGATGTAGTTAGGGTTTGCTCCTTCCGCCTTCATCAAGTCGAAAAGTCTCAATGCTTCCAGACTCCTTCCATTCTGAGCAAGGCCTGAGATCATTGTGCTCCAAGATATCACATCTTTCTCAGGCATTCTTCGAAAGTTATATTCTGCCTCTTCCAAGCTTCCACATTTACAGTACATATCAAGCAACGCATTGTTCAGAATCAAATCGGATTTATACTTGAGCAAATGTACATGAACTTGCTGCCCCATTTCTAGAAAGACCATACCAGTGCAAGCTCTCAGAGCACTGGTTAAAGTTGCTTGTTTAGCTAAAAAGCCTGCTCTTTTCATCTGTCTGAACAGCTTCAGAGCTTCGTGGCCATTGCCGGTCTGTGCGAAACCACCAATGACAGAATTCCACACAACAGGATCTCCTGTTATCATTTCATCGAAAACCAGGCGACCACTCTCAGAATCTCCACATTTGAAGTAAGCATCGATCAGCGAGCTTCCAACAAAATCATCAAACTCCAATCCGTGATTGATGGAACAGCAGTGCATTGCCCAAAGGGTGCTCAGAGTGTTGCAGGCTCGTATAATAGATGAAAAGGTGAACATGTTTGGTCTAATTCCATCTCTCTGCATCAAGACAAAGAAATACAGAGCATCGCTCTGAAGATCAATATCAATAAGTGCAGAGATCATTGTAGTCCAAGAGACAACATTTCTAAAGGGCAAACTGTCGAACATTTGGCGGGCGTCATCAACGAGGCCGAAGCGGACATACATTCCAAGGAGAGAGTTAGAGAGGAAGAGGACAGGAAGATAGCCTGAAGAGGCGAGATGGCTGTGAATTCGGCGGCCTGCATCAGTGGCTCCATCGGAGAGGCAGAGCTTGATTAGGTGGAGGTAGTCTACGGGGTCAGCAGCGCGGAGGCCGCGTGAATGGAGGATTTCGAGGGCAGTCATGGCATCGGAGAGGGGTCCATGGAGGGAGAAGCGGGTAAAGGATTGAACTATAGATTGGTTCTGGTTTAGGGCTAGAGTTTGGCTTGAGAAAAGAGGAGAAGAAGGGATCGGCTGGGTACGAAGAAGAAGACGAGCGCGGGAAGAGGGCTTTGAAGTGAAATTGCGAGCAATACGGTTCATTTTAAGTAGCTGGACCAAAGGTGCAAAACTCAAGAACCAGTTGGGCTTTAAGCTTAGACCGGAATTGCGCCAACCCACCCACACATGACACAAACATGCACAAATGCAAATATTATTATTATTATTATTATTATTATTTATTTTTCACAAGTTGAAATTAATTTCTAAAATTTTTTATTTAGTTTTTAATCAGTATGCAATTGTTTAATTCGAGATTATCTATGAATCATACCAAAAATATAGAATGTGAGTGAGAATTTAAGTTTTTGAGGGCTCATCAAATCTATAAAAATTAATCATGATGATGAGAAGACTTGTAATTCTACATCAAAGAATTGGTGTGGGTAGTTAATATCATCAATCAAAGTGATGTTTTAATAAATATTGCACATAACAACTCATTCAAAATTATTTCCAATATGTTGTATCCTAGCATGAGTTTAAAGCTCTCTTGAAAACACTCTTGTGATACAATATTATATTTTAAAGTTTTCAAAATAATCCCCCTACAATATTGAGGGTGTTTTTTTTATATATATTTGGGTTGATATCATGTTTTAGACGGAGATCTCTAATATTATTTTTTATTATTAAAGGCACTTTTACAAGATAGATGGCATTCATATGTATTTGGGTTAACATTGTTCTCTAAGCTGAGATCCCCATATACATCCATTAAACATTAGATTCATCTCTTTATGAGATAAAAAATAAACTATTTGGGTTGATATGTGTTTAAGTCGGGATCCCAAAATGTGTTTATTAAGTGTTTGAATCATCTCTTTGTCAGATAGAGAATCAAACAAACGTTTGGATGATTTTGAGTGCATGATCAAGAGCCATATGCATTCTATATAGAGATCCTTCTAATTTTATTTGGGCGACATCATGCAACAAACCAAAATTCTTGAAAAAACACAATTATTATTGGAAGTCTTTCTATAAGACATGTCTTTCTTATTCTATTTGGTTTGACATTATGCTCAATGTTAAGGCCCCCAAATATATTTTATTAAATAAATAATTAAATATTTAGTTGACATCGCACTCATTACTGAAGCCCTCAACATACAATATATAGAGGCCACTACTATTATTTAGTTGACATCAAGCTTCATTCCAAGATCTCCAAATCAAAATATGTTGTTGAGATTCTCTCTGCAAGATAGGGACATTTTATTTTATTTTATTTAGGCTAACATTAGTCTATACAAAGAACTCTGATTGATTGTGTCAACATCATGCTCATTGTCAAGTTTCTCATATATATTTAGCAAATATTATAATTTCCCCTTGGTTAGATAGGGTAGCGATCATTTAAGGATTCTCATTCATTTAGGTCAACCTCATGCCCAAAAGATCTCCAACCATTTGGGTTGACATTATGCTTGATGTTGAAATCCCTAGATGTATTTTGAGTGCCGAGTCTCACCCATTTTACTAAACGGACAATGAATGATTCAAAGATCTTCACGCATTTGAGCCATCATCATGCTCAAAGTTAAAATTATGTAGTCCATTCTTTATGAGACATGGGACCCCTTCCTTTTGGGTAGATATCAAATTTAAGGCCAGGATCCTCAAACTCAAAGCTCAATGATGAACAAAGGGAATCTCATCTTCAACAAGTCCATTAAAGCACCATGTGTTGGACCGATACTCTTAGCCAGTTAATCTCATGCAAGCACTCAAGGTTAGGTCACTATTTTGTTGGTGTTGTTGTTTTATTTCGTAGAAATCTTATATTTTTCCTGCTTTTCTGTCCTTCTCGTCGGCGTCTTGTCACGTCCACATGTTCTATGGTGGTAAAAAAATGACAAAAAAATACAACACTCTCACTTTGGTAATGGCCCCCTTCTTTATTATTCGCTCACACACCTCATTCTTTCCTACTTCTCTGTGCTGAAAAACCCATTTGCCTTCTTTTTTCTAAACTCAGACCATGCTGCACCTTTCCTACTCCACGCCACAACAGCTTTGCGGTTCTCCATTGACACCTTAGTCGTTGAGCTCACTGAACTACTAGTAGTTGTTTTTCTTTCTCCTTACCATGAATATGCAAGCCAATGACATCTCTCTCTCCACTATTTGATGGATCACTCTTGGTTGTTGTCCACTTTAAGTCTATTACATCTCCCTCCTCACACAAGTTGAAAAAGCATTGCCTTGTTATGTCGCTACCCCATGGCCAGCCAAGCTGTCCTCACAACCTTCCTATCACTCCCCTCTCATTCACACAAGCTCCACCTATAGTGTAGAAAAAGCCTGTTTCGACTCTCAAAATGTTTGCGTGTGCTCTGACCAATTTGCTAAATGCATATACACATAGTCTGGAAATGTTTCACAAATAGAAAATAAATTTAACTAAAAATGTAATTCTTTTTGATAATGTGCTCACATTTTTAAACTTTTACAAAAATCTCTCTTTGAAAGCTAATTTGAAAATCATTTTAAGTTATGTATGCTTTCGAAGGAGCTTTCATGTTTATAAGTCAGAATCGTAAATCCCACCATTGAGGCCTCTGATAATCCTCTTTAGTAGGGTGTGGAATAGACAAGACTGAGCCCCAACTAAGTTAATTTGATACTCCTCCTCATTAGAACTGGAGACGATAGGACTAGTGGATTTAATAATATTAAATTAAATTATCCTTGATGATGGTTGTTTTGAATACATATCTTAATCGAAGTGGTCTGTTCTCAAATTCTATAATTTAAAATATTCACGTGAAGTTCAGTCATCACTAAATACTTAAGTAAAATTTCTTCATGCCTATGACTATTTGTCAAGGGTGATAAATCTTAGACTAATCTAATCTCATAAATAACAATTATCATATTTATTATATTGTCAAATTCACACTCAAAATAATCTCATGTCAATAAGAATGTGACATCTTCTGTTCTCGTGGTTTGGCCCAACATATCCACAATGAAGTGATTACAATAGGCTCTATCAGATGGTTTGGCCAATAATCTCCATCATGTAGTTTAGCTTGAACCATCAGATGGTTTGGCTAGCAGGCTCCATCAAGTATTTTGGCCTATATACTCCCCTATTATGACCATGGATATTGCTTGTATGTTATTCATGGCTTTACTTATTTAGATTGCGGATTGTTATACTTGATATGACACAAATCCCTTTTTTAGCTAAGGCGATCACCTAAATTTGTCCCTTTAGACAAACATTTAACCTATGTCTACAAGGTTCCCTTGGACTAAGCAACCCTTGACTGCTGACAAGGTTCCTTCTACCAGGTTATGTCGAATACCTTCTTTGACTAGTAGACCAGGAACCATGTGATCTTTATCAATTTCATCTTCATTCAACTGCCATCTGCTCAGAGCTAATAATGATAATTTCATAATTTAAAATTTAAAATTTGTTATATATTAAGTCCAAATACATAGCGCCAAATGACTAGACTTAATCAAAAATGCTCTCCCATTATTGTGATGAGTAATTAATCATATGGGCTTGAGCTTATGGGAGACCTCTAAACCCATCTTAAAGTCCTCATAAAATGAGAGCAAAATCCTTGGGTAGTGTCTTATATACTATCTCAATTGCCTTATAAAAATTTTACCTAGAACATCAAAGTAAACTCTCTCATTCATTTCTTTTTAAGGAAAGCCGAGGTAAAAAAAAATTGGATTCTGTATTGATGGTTTATTTATAGATATTGAAGTGTTATTAACTTAATTGGTACAAGATTTGACAATAATTAATTTAAAAAATTAGATATACAAATGAGACATTAATGTCCATATGGCTTGAGTATGAAATGTTGTACAACACTTCTGAGGTTAAATTGTTGCCACTCATCTCTTAGAATGTGGCCATTGGTACTTAGCCTTGGAGTATTGTGTTTTGTAGCTCTATATAGAATGTAGATCATAAGTGTTAATACTCGGCACTCAACTCGACCCTTGGTATTTCACCATTTTAACTCATACCTTGAAATTTGGCCATTAATCCATTTTTTCATTCCAATATATATATATATATATATATATATATATATATATCAAGCATAATAAAACTTATTTTATAATGCATATATATAGAATCTATATAAATTAATATTTGAAAAAGGATTAATTAGCATCATCTATTCATAAGCTTAATTGGCAGTATAATCCATGCATAAGTGTCCTCAAAGTGATAACAAACAACCAAAAGAAAATTTTAATTAATACTTTCTATGCACACCACCTAGTCATAGTATATGGTGACAAAATAGGAAAGCCCGCGCATTATTATTATCAAACTCGAGATACAAACCATGAGAGCTTAAAGAACAAGTTGAAAATAAGTTTCAAAATCAACATAACATAATCTCCAATCAAAAACAAAAAAAGATGTCATGAGAAATGATTGTCTATAAATATTAATCTTTTATCATTCACATTATATACATATATATACGTATAGTATGATTTTTTCCTCTAACAAATTACTCATAGCTTCAAGTCAAGATCAATACCCTCATCATGCAAAAGAGGATCAAAATAAATATGATTGATAATTTTATCTGTAACATGATCTGCACAATGATCTGAAGTGTCAAAAAAGTCGTGCAGTTTGGGCTCGCGGCTGAGCTTCTTGTGTGCCTTCCAGAAAGCTATATTTGGACTAAGAGGTATCATTTGAAGACAATTAGGCTTACATGTGATGTGTATCTTCCTTTCGGGTTTGGCCTCAATGGTCTTTTTGGCGCGTCGATTCTGATGGGTAAGCATATAGTGTTGATGTTGAAGCCTCATCTCCTTTATCTCTTTACGATGAGTGGTTTGATGACCTCCGAGGCACTGTTGAATAAATTGCTTTTGTGAATAATTGTATGAGAATTAATTGAATTATAGGATTGCATATAATTTAACTGAAGGTATATAATATGCTCCTTCTATTTTATTAGATGTGATATGACTTTTCATTTATTATTGTCTGTATATACTTACGAAGTACGTAATATTTTCTCATTTTATTAAAATCAAATTCAATATTTGTTGTGT